AATATGGCGTGATATTTTTGCTAACCAAGTGATTCCATACGACTATGTTTTTTAAATAAATCAGTTAAACCCCGGTATTAGACCACCCGAATAGACCATGGAGTTATAGCACCAGACTGTTTAAGAGCTATATCATGATATGGGGTAGGTTTCTGCATTTATAATATCAGGATAATTTCATTTAAACTTAAGCTTTAAGATGTAGAGCGAATCTGCAAAGTTTCTTATATCTGAAACCTGCCACTCATTTTAACTAGCGTTTAGTGTAAGGGTTAGGAATGTGAAACTAAGAGGGACTTTACATTATATTAGAAAATCATCGACTTTTTTTGTTTAGTTTTCGCCGCATAGTGTGGATAGGTTAAGCGGGTCAATGATTCTTCAACGATTGTGGGGAAAATGGATAAAATTAGGGCTGCCAGTGGCAGATAGCTTGCTTGGAACGTTAGTAGTTGAATTCGTCGAATCATCGCGACCTCATATCCTCTAGAGATAGTAGGCACACGAGAGCGAAATAATGATAGGCATAACTTTTATGATTATTCATTAAATAAAAGACTTTTATTAATATCTTAATGAATTAAAAAAAGACAAAATAACTTTTGTTGACTAAATTCTTAATATGCGTGTTTTTATCAAACCATATTATACGACTTGTTTTTAAATAAATCAGTTAAACGGATTAGACGAATAGACATGTTATACGACTTGTTTAAACTTATATCATATATGAATTTCTCATTTATAATACGAATTCATTTAAACTTAACCTTGATTAAGCGAATCGCATTTCTATATCACGATCAATTTTAACACGTTTAGGTAAGGGTAGAATTACTGGAAGAAAATCATCGACTTTTTTTGTTTTTTTGGTGTGGGATAGGTAAGCGGAGTTCTTACGTGGGGTGGATAATGGGCCTCCAGACTCTTACGTTGGAGTTGAATCGTCGATCTCGCACTCTTTCTAGAGATAGTAGGCCGAACGAATAATGAACAATCCAATGTCCCTGCACAAAAATTCAACTCTTGTTTGGTCCCAGCCGGCCTACTCGCTATGGATGCATATAAGAACACTGAAAAATCAACGAATCTATATTTAAGTACATTCAGAAATGCAATATTTCTGGCCGTCATCTGAAAAACAAGTACGAAAATGGAATAGCATTGGTAAGCTGTCACAAGCCAACCCAACCCAGGAAAGAAAAAACAAATAACGATTCAATAAAAAAATAAAAATAACAACGAAAGTGTATAAGTATTGCAATGACTACGACCTACAACAACCCAAAAGGATTAAATAAATGTTTATATTTTTTTAATTTCATTGTTTTTGACAACAATTATGTGAATAACATATAAAATAAAAATTAATATTTATTCTCTAAATCAATGAGGTGGTGATCTGATTGAGTGAGAGGTATCGAGTTCGAAGCATCTCGATCACAGTTGTTTTCATTAATTTAATGAGTTAAGGAGAAGACTAGTGTTATTTCGGTTCATAAAGGCCTCTAATTAATTAAAAAAAAATTATTCCATATATATATATATATAAAATAAAAATTAATAGAAATGTCTTTTTCATTGACAAAAAATTAATAGTAAAAAAAAAAGTTTAAAATCCAATTTATTTATCATTAATATAAGTGCAATAACAATTTAGTCCCTGGAAGTAGATAGTCAAATTTGATAATAATTGGTATATTTTTCATAATTTTTAATTAAGTATATGGATTAGTATTTGAAATTTAATTTTATTAAATTACTTAGTCGTTCAAAGCGTGTTATATTTTTACAGTTAAGTGAAAAAACTAGACACTAATATTATATTCCCTCCGTCTCATTTTATTTGCTTGTTATTTCTTTTTTGGATGTCCTAAAATATTTGCGAGATTTCTAAATTTAGACATGTAAATAATTATTTTTTCCATAAAAACTTTTATAATTCTTCATTAAATGAGGAATTTTTATTAATATCTTCAATAAGTTAAGGGTAAAAAGAGTAAAATAACTTTTATTGACTAAATTTTTAATATACGTATTTTATCAAACTATACAAACAAAATGGGATGGCGGGAAAATATGAAGAATCTAAATAATCAATATTACAAGATATTTGAACCTCGCAAATCAAGTGGTGGTCCGGTTGGTCTTCTCATTATATGATGGACGAGAGGTCTTGAGTAGGGATGAAAGCGGAATAAGTATTTAAAAGTACTCGATCCAGTTATTACGGATTTGGATAGTTAAACGGGTTTCAAAAAGACATGAATAGTAAAATTACTGCCCGTAATGGTTCGGGTAGGTAAAGATTTCGATCAATGGGTATCCGTTACCTGCTACCTATTAGGTTAAACAGACAGCCTTGCGGGTTTTGTGGATACCCTACCCCTTTATCTATAATAATATATTTATGATATAAATATTGGTTTAGAAATTTGAACCTCTAACCTTTTTTTAAAAAAACAAGGATATTTAAATAGTGATTGTGTATTTGGATGAATTTTTAGTTTATATATATTGCTATTAGTTTAATAAATTTTTATCCATATGCAAATGTTTCTTGGAAGAACCTTAACTTTCTTTTTCTTTTTTTTTTATTTAAGATTCTATAAGTTTTAATAGTTTCACTTATCATTCTACAGGTTTTACTTAAGATTCTGATGTTAATGATCATTTGTTTTTTTTTTTTTTTTTTTTAAATCCTTTCTTTTTCGTTTTTTTTTTATTTAAGGATTCTTAGTATTAGTTTTAAAATCATGTTTCACTTTATCATTTCTAGGGCATATAGGTTTTTACTTAAAGATTCTGATGTATTTATGAATATTGATCATTTGTCTTTTCTTTTTTTTTTTTTTTTTAAAATACATACTGGATTTGATTTTTAATTTAATATATGATTATAATTACGGATTCGCGGGTTCGGAGTTAATTAATATATTGTCGGAGAACGCCTACTTTTTAGATTTAAACGCAGATTAAACTGGAGGGTATGGATAATAACAATATTTATTAAACGGAATCTACGGAGGAATACAGAGACCAATAATTAAACAGAATATTTTTGTGAATGGAATTATATATTGAAGACAGTATAGTTATTACTATAATTTTAAAACAGAATTCAGATAGACATAGTTTAAAATTCGTGGTATTCACCGGTGCGGCGGCCTCCCATTTCCAATAGTACCTCATCTAATCTTTGAAAGAGTTGAAATCTTCTCTGATACTAAGCAGTTGTTTTCGAAACAATAAAGGGGAGAAGCATGCGTCGTTCTTCCGTGGTTGTGTAGATCATAATATTATTTTGGGAATATACCTAGGTAATCATCCTTCGCAACTGAATAAAAAAAAAAGAAACCCCACTCCTCCGTTGGACCTCAAATATACATATCTAATAATAGTAGGACCATACCCCTACTCCTATAGGGAAATAAGACCTAGATTACATAGTCTTGGATTACTTTAATAGAGTACCCACAATAGTATTATAAATTGAAATTGTGGAAAAAAGGTATGGATGATCTGAATGGATAAGAAAATTATTCATACCGATAGAATAGAATATCAGTGTGGATTGCTTGTTGTTTATAAATAATTTAACTGGTATAGAAAAAGAACTACACTCCCAAGTTAAGAAAATTTTCCACGATATTAAGAGATAAACAGAGTAGTTGGATATAATTAACACAGCGGTAAAATCATATGCCTAAATTAATATTGTCAAACTCGATATTTTAACGATAAATAATTTGAGTTTAACCTTGTATTTGATATATCACTCCGAGAATTTCATTATCCCTCTTTGTTTAATCTAAATTTGAGATGAGGACCATATATTTATTGACGCCTCTAAAATATAAAGTATTATGTTATTGATTAACATAGGAGAGTGCTACCTTCAATTATTAATCCTTTTAATACAGAAGGGTGGTTACCATAAAAAATAAAAAAAAAGAAATTTTAAACAGAATTTACACCTACAGCCAAAATTAGTTTTTACAGGCAGGCCAGGCACTAAGAAAGGAGACAAGACACTAGTCTATTCATTAGGACGAATATAGGTCAGAATGTCTTTTAGTTTCAACTGGGCATCGCGTGATCTTGGCTTGCTACCGTTAGCTACTGGACTCACCTTCACGATAAAGCCGGACCCATTTTTTTTTTTTTTTTTTTTTTTTAAATACTACTGATTTGAGTTTTTAATTTAAATGATGTTTAAACGGATTCGGGTTCGGATTATTAATTGCGGGAACCCTACTCGATTTAAACGAGTTTTAAATGGATATGGATAATAAAATTTATTAACGGATTCGGATACGAATAATTAAACAGATATTTAAATGGATTTTGAACAAGTATAGTTATTATAATTTTAAACAGATTCAGATAGACATAGTTTAAAATTCGTGGGTATTCACCTCGCTTCCATTCCTAGTCTTGAGTTTGAATCTTCTCGACTGCAGTTGTTTTCACTAAAGGGAGGACTGTTCTTGTTTTGTAGATCATAATATTATTTTGATATATAAAATCCTCCAATGAATTAAAAAAAAAAGAATATTTGGACCTCAAAATTACACTTTTAGACATACCACTCATGGGAAATAGAAGAGCATTTTGGAATACTTAATAGATACAAATAATTATAAATTAATTTGAAATAGATATGATTAGTAAAATTATTATCCGATGGAATAAATACAGTGTGGATTGCTTGTTGTTATAATATTAACGAAGAAAAGACTACATCCCAAGTTAAAAATTTTAGATATTTAAATAAAAGAGAGTTATAATTATCACTAAATCCATTGCCTAAATTAATATTTATGAATTTTTACATGATATTTTAATTTGTATTTGTTATCATGAATTTCTTTCTTTAATCTAATTAAAAATAGTTTATTTACCCTAAAATTAAAGGATTTATGATTAACAAAAAGTGCTTCAATTATAATTTAACAGAATTATTACCAAAAAATAAAAAAAAGAAATTTAACAGAATAAGGTACGAAATTGTTTACAGGAGGAGGAGAAGGAGACAAGACCACACATAGAAAAAACAATGGCAAAGTGTTTTAGTTTCACTGCATCGCGTGACTCTTGCTACCGCTACTCCTTCACTAAAGCCGGATTCAAATCATGCACCACCGATCTAGGCGACGGCACCGTCATGCACTGCTGGGTCCCCAAAACTCACATCCAATCCAAGCCTGCTCTCCTCTTAATTCACGGGTTTGGCGCCAACGCAATGTGGCAATTCAACAGCTTCATTCCTCCATTAAAATCCAACTTCAATATCTACATCCCCGATCTTCTCTTCTTCGGCGATTCTTACACGACCCGACCCGAGAGATCCGAGAGTTTCCAGGCCCAGTGCGTGATGGCTTTAATGGATGCTATTGCTAATGTTAGTAAAATGGATATTATGGGGCTTAGTTACGGCGGATTCGTGGCGTATAGTATGGCTGCGCAGTTCCAGGAGCGCGTGAGACGCGTGGTGTTAGGTTGCGCTGGAGTTTGTTTGGAAGAGAAAGATGTGGAGGAAGGGATGTTTAAAGTGAAGAGTGTTGATGAAGCTGTTACTCTTCTGTTGCCGCAAAGTCCGGAGAAAGTTAGAGAGTTGGTGCGACTGTCGTTTTACAAGCCTCCACCAAATGCTCCTTCTTGTTTTCTGAATGATTTTATTGAGGTCAGTCAGATTCAGTTCTCAGTTAAAATTTCTTGATTTGACTCTTTAGTCTATTGTTTGTTTGTATATTATTTTCTTGATTTCTTGTTTGAGGAGATAACCAATTTTATGCTTATTTAATTCAATTCTGTTAAGTATCTTGAATTGAATCGCAATTACTGTATTATAGTATTTTTAAGAAACATTAAAGACCCTGAATTTGATTAACAAGATATTGTATTTCAAGTGTGTCATAGTATCTTGATGGTTTCCTCAAACCAAAATTTCTTGAGCTGAATTCATTTCAGATTTTTGTTTCTTGCCATTTTTACCATTCTTGCAAGAAAGCTTTCAGATAACTCCTCCCAATATTGCACAAATTTATTGCTCCTTCATTGTTTTTGATGCACAAAGTGGATTTCTTTTTTAGTGTGAGGAATTGGAATGTACTATATTGTTTATTATGAAAGTATGTTGTTAATTTGGTTATATGGGCAGGTGATGTGCACGGAATATCTTCAAGAGAAGAAAGAATTGATCCAGGCATTACACAAGGATAGGAAGTTGTCTAATCTTCCCAAGATAACCCAGGTGTTACAATGTGCCCGTCTTTTTATCTTCATCGCTTGTATACTGGTTCAATTTTGACCTTCTAAAGGAGTGATTTGTCTCTTTTTATGCAGCCTACCCTTATAATTTGGGGTGAATACGACCAGATCTTCCCACTGGAATTGGCACATAGATTAAAAAGGTTAACTTGGAGCTTAGTAGCATTTTCAATATTCCTATTCTTTCTAATTTAGGAAAACAAGAAGAGCATTTTTAATTCTGATACTGACCGAAGAACTTCTTACCTCTGTTTTACTCCTAGATATAGTCTTCTTCCTAGTAATGCACTGTTTGAAATGTTCTAAACTTGTAATCTGCTTTACGCTGTATAGGCAAACTTTTTGTGATGATATATTAGTTTATCTTTATGATTGTGATTTATCCTCTTTGACCTGTAGGCATATTGGTGAGAATTCCGAGTTAGTGATAATAAAAAACGCTGGGCATGCTCTTAATGCAGAGAGGTCTAAAGAAGTGTTCAAGCACATGAAGTCTTTCCTCATCGATACTCCCTTTCCTACTAAGCAAGGAAGCCACACAAATGGTAGCAAAGTAGATTGAAATATCTACAAGCTGTGGATGATCTTTTTGGGAATGAGCATCTCTTATCTGATGTGCGTTGTGAACAGCATAGACCATATTGATTGATGATGATACATTTTAGTAGATTTAGAAAACACAAGAATTAAATTAATGCAAAGGATATGAAAGAGTCAGCTAGGATTCCCCTGTTCTTGGGAGATTAAGTTATACTTGTGATTTTGATTCCAGAAGGCTGATACGGGATGAGCCATTACTGGCCGGTGCTAGGTGTTCTTTGTTGGTAACTGGTCACTTAAAAGAAGTCAGAATCTAGTATTGTTGAACCCCTGTTGTTGTATGTGTTCTGTATATTGAATGTGTGTGATAATGTAATAACGTATATAATATAGTATGTGATGTTTTCATGTTTGGTTTTAAGCTTGATACAGTAAGAATCACATGTTTAAAACATGTTTACTGACTAGTTCAGAAAATTAGGATGAGAAGTACATCTCTTATGTATTTATAAATAAAGGAAAGAAGACTTAATGGCTGTTAAATGGCATTCACATGATTGTTTGTAATATTTTCTTTTTAAAAATAAAAATTAAAGTACATAGCACTTTCTAGTTCCACTCGTATGTGCTAGGTGTCATAAAATATTTAATTCCACTGTATGGACCTATAGTTATATTATTCAATTGTTGGATAAGACTGTATTCAAGAATAGCTACTAAAACAATTAATAATTACTAAAAAAATTAATTTTGCTGAACAGACTCTAAATAATAGTGCAAAAATAACTAATTTTATCAAATAGACTCTAAATAATAGCATAATATTTTGCCGAACAAACTTTAAGTACCAATGTGATTAAGAAATTTCAGAAATATTGTAAAATAAGTCTCAAACACTACTGAAGTTGGCTTATCTAGTATATGAGGGACACGGATTTCCCAATTTTGCTTAATCAGGGACTTAATGGACTTGGGGAGAGTGCTACAGCTATTCACCTGATTTTCTTGGCTAAGGGTGTGCGGATGGTTTGGTTATTGGTTAATTCGATTAATTCGATCAATTTAGCTCAATGAATTAAATATGGATTTTTAGTTCGAAAAATAAAATTTAAATTATTCGGTGATGGATTATAATCTAGATAAAAATTAATCTAATTGCATTAACCCATTTGGATGGATGCACTGAATAATTTGATTCTCTGGCAATTGGCATCGTTGCTATACATGCACAAGGTGTTGGTGCTTTTCAACCTTTATTCCTCCTTTACACTTTTTAGCCCCATAAATGAGAAATATGACCTAACTTTGATCCCTTGCAGCTTTTCCCATACCAATACAAGGGTCTGATGCTAGAAATATATCAGGCTGTTCCAATGAGAACAAGACCACTGAAAATTCCCAACCAAATCTTCCCTGCAATATCATTGAGCAACAAATTAAATATAAATCCATTAGAAAAATCCAAATCATACCTAGCTATCTTTAATTTGATTGTATTATTATGCCTTTCCACTTTTACTTTAGTAATGTTTTCCTTTTCCTACCCAAAAGAATTTGATTCTATGCCCCAATATTTACTGTTGGTTGCAAACCAAATAAGCATCCGGTGCTTATCCATTCAGCATGTTCACTTTATCATATGCTAGAATATATTCAAAAGGAAAAAAAAAAAAAATTATTAGTTTGCTTTGTACTCCTGCACATTATCTAAAGAAATCTTAACTTCGAAGAAACAAACTTTAAGGCCTTGTTAGAAGCATGTGGATAATACGACATTGGTTAAATATAAAGGCAATGAATGACTTAACGAGAAAGGTGAAACAATCAAAATTGCTTAAGCCATACGGTGTCGAAGTCTAGGATTCAAATATATCCTTTATTTTTTAGTCTTTTATTATGTTCATTCATTTATAATAAACTATTTAACCTCCAAGTTGATTTTAGACAAATTGGTTTGAACTAATTCAAAATAAAAATTCAAGGGCCTCACAGATGAAAAATAAAATTCAAATTTATAGCTAAGGCTTTGGCCTTTTTTTTTTTTTTTAAAATTGAATTCCTTTAACAAATCTAGGGATTAAACTCACAACTAACAGAGAATTCAACCATTCTTTTAACCATTTGTCCTCCTTAGTTTCAAATCCTGGCTTTACCCTGTTAGTAGTTTCTATTTTCTTTAAACTTCAGGAGTTTCCATATAGATAATTTCAAACACACACAGAGAGAGAGAGAGAGAGAGAGAGAGAGAGAGGAACTTACATGATGGTCTTGAATTGGAGCTCCATGTATTAAACCACAAATCTTGGCTATGCCCATTACAATCTGTCGTAGTATTAATTCCACCATTGCACAAACACAGAAAGGAGTCACCAGGAGGACCGTAACCACATATGCCACCACTTATCTCACAAGTATTACATTTGTTATCGATGTAAAAATCATCATAAGCTCCACTTTTGTAATTCAACACCACCCCATATTCCCACCGGGTCGGGTCAGTTGGATAGTCATGAAAACCTGCTATTGAAGTATACCCTAAACACTTTAGCAAGTGAAGATCAAGTTCACCTTTTCCATTGAAGTTAGCCGGAGAATAAACACAGCATGTATTTGTGGGTGCGAAAAGCGGTAAGCCGAGTCCGATAACTGCTGGACATGTGTAAATAGAAGCACAAAGGTAGGATGAGGATGTGTCACAGACAGGTGAGCCTTTCATGGTAAGGGAGGAGGTCGGTGGTGGGCAAGAGAGGAGGAGGAAAGTTGATGGGCCTATTTGAAATGGGCTGGCCCAATCAAGGCCGAAATTGGGTGATTGTCGCATGGAATTGCATGTAGACATGGTAGGTGGGGTTATGGTTATGGTGGAGGTAGTGTAGGAAATGGAGGTGATAGGATAAGAACCTGTATGGGTGGTGAGGAGGAACTGGTCTCCGGCGGCTGAACAAGCTACGTAGGGATAGAACCGCGGTGAACCGCAGCCGGTCCCAGTGCCGAAAGGGTACTTAACTTGTATAGAGCCACATGTGGTCTTGCATGGTGTGTCTAAGGCTAATGTTTGCCCTAACAGTCTGAGTAGGAAAATAGAGAAGGAGATGGTTCTCAAGAACAGTGGATTTTCCATTAATTGGTAAAGTTTGATATGAAATTCTTATGAAGAGAATCAAGAGACATATAATAGGAAAGAGGATAGTGGAAAATCTCCTGTTTTTTAAAAAATCCCATAAGACTGGCCGAAGGGATCGATTAATTTGTGGACCGGACCACTTAGCTAGAGAGAGCTTTTTTTTTTTTTTTTTTTTGCAGCATGGCTCATTTATTTCTTTGATGAATCCTTTCCTCACTAGCAAAATTACCGTAAGGTAATTTGAAAATGAACTATATCTATAAAATGCATGGGAAATCTATTGACATTCAACATTTTGAACTAACATATAATTTGAATTGATCCATATCCCATAGAGCAGACCCGTGCAGCTTATTAGAAGTAAATCCAAACCAAATCAAAGTTCCAACAGCCAAATTAAATTATAATCACCGTCAGATAATGTGCACTACGACACCTGAAATTAGCTCCAATTACTTAGTAGTTGATAAGTGTTGTATTTATCGAACAAGAATCACTAATACAAATGGTAGACAAATTATATTGAAGACTATGAACTGGAATTACAGGGAACGTGAAGCCACAAACAAGAGATAGGAGATATATCATAGCCAAAGAGTTGGTGTCACATAGAGAGGCTAAATGACAACATTAGGGATGGTCTGTTCTGTCTTTATATACAAATTGAAACTAGTGTTACATTTCAAATATTTAGGTTCTTAGTCGTTAATTTTTCCACACTATGTTTCTTTTAGGTAATATGATTACCTAAAATACGAAATAAGTTTCAATTGGAACTAGAACAGTAGCAGGAAAAATGCCACTGGCCTATTACAAATCATAACCTAATTGAGTAACAAAGCACTGCTCGGGCTAGGTTCTACCAGTCAATAAGGCCTAACTTAAGCTTCAGTGTGGCTAGAAGAGCAAAAGATTTTAGCCCAAAAGCTGAACAGCACATGAGTGAGTCCAAACAAACTGTTGTGCTAGCTCAGATTGGAAACCTTTCTGATTTCATTCACATTCCTAGTTGAAATGTTTGCGTAAATAGAACAGAGCCTCTGAAGCAACTGATATAATTCCAACCCTTTCTAAATAAACATAAAGAGATATAATGCAACGTGGCATGAACATGTAGTATGGTTAAAATTACTTTTGCCATGACAGAGCAAAATTGGCAGGGATACAGCACGTCTTGCAGCTTCATTGACCCCCTCAAGTTTGTTACCTAAGGTCCTGGCAAAAAAGAATTTCAAATTATGTGGTAAAAGACAATTGCAAAAGATATTGTCTGATTCAGTTGAAAGGAGAAGGAGCCGAACTTTGAACAGGGGAGCCAGCCACTTAATCCAACAATTGCACTCAAATTGGCAGGGTATGGATTTCCATTCCCATACTTTCCTAGTGTAAAGCAGGTTGCAGAATATAATGAGGTAGCTGCACCCATACTGAAGCCTCCAATACCGAGTTTAACTGCAATATAGCAGATTACACTTATAAAGATATTAAGACTATAAGAAATCATAAGCTATTTCAAAAGGGTATCACAACATTTTGCATGTGTTCTAAACTGATCCATTGTGCTCATGTACAAAGCATGATGTCAGAAAAATAATTAAGTAATTCCCATATATGAAGTAGACATGCAAACATTAACCATTGATAACAAGAATGATATTAAGTAGAGAAATATCAAGTAACTGCACATCAAATAATAATAACTACGAGAGGAAACCTACTGTCTGCGGGTTCTGTGGACAACAAATTTGCAACATGTGCTGCTGCAGCATCCAAACCTTCAATATCATCTGGAGCATCTTCTGAAAGGTCCCCCACATCAAACCCTGATTTAAACCACATAGTGAATTTGGATTATTTTAATTAGGTAATAGAACAATTAAGTTTCTCCTAAAATAGATTTTCTATTTATATGAACTATAAATAAAAATAAAGCAAATTACACATCTCACGATAGTCTAGTTAATTATTTTCTTTTCCAAATGAACTGCCATTACTTACAACCTAAATGTCATTACATGCAGCCGGCACTAACAAACATTATAAGGAATCAAATTTCTTAGATAACTTTAACTTACAAGCTGTGGATGGGAAGCCCCCAAATATACTTATAGGTTGAGTTGGAGCAGTTGGGCATATCCACTTGATCTGCATTACAGTTTTTAATAACTGGAATATAAACAAAAGAATGGCTTGCACAATAAATCCAACTGGCATCTTATTCGGGCTTACTTACATTTGGAAGAGGAAGGGTCTCCAAGAGCTGGGACCAGCTGCCAAAAAGATTAAAAAGAAAAATTTGAGGATTCAATAAACAATGCTAAAATTGTATGAAAATGAGTCTGGCTGCTATGCAGGTAAAATAAACTCAAAGAGAAGAGCACATGATCCAAATGGTTGGAAGAACGTGCCAATAATATATTAGTTGTGATGAAAGTGATATTACCTTGATCCATTATCTCCTAGACCATGTAGCCATATAACGGTAGCTTGGTGTTTACCTTTGGGCCTAACCACATATGTCCTTCCAAACTCCAATGCCCTTCTAGCAGTTTTACCACCTGAAATAATGTTAAAATATGGTTTAATGAAGAAGGAGTACATTTGTGTTTTTATGCATGTATTCATATATAAGCAGCCAGTAATAGATGAAAAATGCGAGTATCATCATTACAACCATTAGATTATTACTTGCCAACCATCAATGAACCATTAGATTAACCGAAGTTAACTTCAGCAATTTAGGGATGGAAGTTGGGTGACCCATTTAAAATTTCTATTGAAATACTTGTATCTAAACCCATTTAAAATTTTAATAAACGTATATGTTCCAAATCCTTTAACTAGTATCCAAACCCATTTATAATTTTAATATACGTACCTGTTCTAAATCCACAGTATCCAAACCCATTTTAAGTGAGTTAAAACAGGTTGGTACTCAGAAAAACCCACCTCATTTAACTACTTGCTCACTACCTAACCAAATCTGCCTAATGTAAAATAAATCTAGTGAAAATCTAAAAAAAATTCAAATAAATTTCAAATTTACAAATAACAAAATTCATAGATAAGCTGAAAAAATCTTTTAAAAAAAAAAACTAAGTCATCTTAACAACATCCACATATAAATTAAAAATTCATCAGCAACTATTTACAAGTAACTCCATAATCTTACAATTCTTCTGACGAGTTAACCCTCCACATCCAAACTTCCATAATCCATCAATAATACAACCTTAAAAAATTAAAACAAATACAATAGATTATAATTCTTTTATGCTTTAATAAATTTTCCAGTTAAAAAATTATATGTAATATGAACACTTATTTTCCTTCTACATCTATAAAAGAAAATTAAAAATGAATTAAATATCATGATTCAAATTAATTTTCCATTTAAAATGTCACATTTTAGTTTTTAAATGGGTTCGAGTACCCGCTGATACCTGAAACCTTAAACCCAACCTCGTGACAGGTAATATTAATACCCATACCAATCTCAAACCGTTTAATTTAACTAATACTCAAAACCAGCCTACTTCCATCCCAATTCAGCATTATAATAGAAGCCTTAATAGCAGTGGATGAGAATAAAAAGTCATAGCAACCTAATCGAGTAGACAGAGACTAATGTACATGTTCATACAGAGTTCCCATTGGAAATATGGCTAAGGTTTTGACGCTCCATGCATGCAAAGAGACAAATGCCGAGCAAATTTACCAGGATAGATGCATTATGTCAAAACCAAATATCTTCTGTTACTAAGCCAGTTATCATAAAATGGAGGAAGTACACTAACCAGAACCCACGGAGGGACCAGTGAAACTCATTTTAGCTTCCTAGAAAGATAGCCCACTGAAACTGCTAATTGCAACAATTGAAAGAATAGAGAACCTGAAATTGAAAGAACAAATTATGCAAGTGGAAAGTCATTAAATTACCAATGTCACAGAACCCAGTAATTCAATTTTCTGCAATTAAAGAAAAAACAATCTTTTGCGTTGGAATTTTTCCACAATGATGGTTCTTGATAGGATATACATACACACAGAGGAAAAATGAAACCAAACAAAATTTCAACGTCAAATGCGACCGAAAAAAAAAAAAGAGCAAACTTTTGCTCGAATTAAAATCCACTAAAAAAGAAAAATGAAAGAATTTAAGAAAAAAAGCAACATTATCGACATTTCAAGATTCAATGCGGAAATCTTTAAAATAGTAAATTTCCCTAATTAAACAAGCAAAAAAAAAAGTCTTATAAATCCGAAAAGTATCTCCACAGATAGAAATGATTAATATTCAATTAACGTTATTAAACTTGAAGATTGAATAATGAAAGGCTATGAACTAACAATTCGATAAATTGAGATGCGCATTTGTAGTATTAGGGTTTAGATATTTACCAGAAGAAGCCTTGACTCTGATATGGAGACTACAAATAGGGGAAAGAAAACAAACTGATGATTACAATACAAAGACATAACAGCCTGAGCTCGCCACTAATTATTTTTTTCTTTTTTTCTTTTTTTCTGTTTTATTTTTGTTGTTCTACGCACCGTTTTATACTGCTTAATTTTACTGGTCGACGTGGAGTTTCCAAGGTGGACTAAATAGCTTTTTCTGTTGTTTGAACTTTGAACTTGTGGTGCTGAATTGCTGGTTGAAGGTAGACCACACATACATTCACATTCACTTCACTTTTGGAACCTTACCGTTTTCTCCTGACATATCGTTTTTATCTAATTAAATTCATAGAATAGAACCACAAGTCATTCTTTCTTTGGTTTCTAATTGCAATTTGTTGATAATAGCACAAGATACAAATTCTAGATTTTTTTTTTTTTTTTTTTTTTTTTATAATAGCACCAGAATCAAATTGCTTAGATTATTTGTTTTTATTCTTTTTTTTTTTTTATCACAGGGTTGTCTCTTTTTTTTTTTTTTTTTTTTTTTTTATCACAGGTGTCCTGAGCATAATAAGATCATGCTCGAGCAGCGTCAGACTCATAAGGGAAAAAAATTTTGCGATTTTCTCTGTAATAAGAACAATTATAAAAGAAAATTTTAGTACACCTCATGGAGATAGAGACATTTTGTTTTATCTTATTAAATTTTTATTTATTGTACTTTTAATTTATTCAATCAAACAATAATAAAAAAAGTTTATTTATCTGAACTAAATCAATAAGTTGATTACTTGAATTTATAAGACAAATTATTTGAATGGAAAAGTTTCTTTTTTTTTTAATTATTCAACAAGTTATACTCTCTCCATTTCATTTTAATAGTAATAATTTATCTGTTTATAAAAATTAAGAAAATGATTAAAACGCATTGATTTTCTAAAAATTCATAGTAGAATATGTAAATTGGCTCTCTTATCTTAAAATTTAAAACTCTCCATTCAATTCTACTATAAATAATGTTAATTTTATCTCATGATAAATATGGGTAAAATTGAAAAAAATTATTATTAATTTACTTTCAAAATCCTAAATGAGCATTTAAATGAAACAATGTAAAATATTCATTCTTTGCTATTAAAGTATAATGGATGCATATATAACTTATTATACAAAAAATAAAATTATTTTTTGTAATTATAAAAACATTATCTATCACTTTTTAATTATTTAAGAATCTTTTCTTAATAGCATTTTTTAAGTGTTGTTCGACAACCACCGTTGGTAAATAGCGTTCAACGTTTTGATATCAATACAAATTATAAAAAGAGTATTGAGTTAATTTGAAATGTAAATTTTATAATATCGATACAAGTTAATCATTTTATTATTCCGCATGAGGAGCTAAAAGTTGATAATTTAAGTGGAACAAAGAGAGTAAACATTTTCAAATGCTTTATATTCAGTAGATAATCAAACAATTATTTTTATTGATGCTTCTGCTATAAACTACTATATAAACATCTGATTATTAACAACTAATATCTAAAGGCGACCAATTATTACAACAAATAATAATTACTATAGTAACTAATATTACCGAACAGATCTTAATTATTCAACTCAATAAATTATTAATTTAGGTCTCTTTTGTTTAGACCGAATTTTAAATATTGAATTTAAATCCACTATTTTATTAAGCTAAATAATTAAAAAGTGTACCAAAAGCTGATTACATAATGCTAAAAAATGGTATATATCTTGTTCTTTTACAATTCTAGGGCAATTTTATTTTTTCATTCAATAAGTTATGTAGTTATTGAATCTACTCTTAAAGTAACTTTTTCATTCAAAGAGGGGCTTACAAATTCACATAAGTAACTATTGGTTCAGTTCAGACAAATAAGTTTATTTTTTATCATCTGAATGAATAAATTAAAAGTTCAGTAAGTTGTCATTAAACCAAAACAGATAGTCTCTTAGATTTATAATTCAGTCCAAACAAATAACCATTAAGTTCATTTGAAAAAAAAAAAAAAAAAAAAAAAAAAACAATAACCATCTAAGTCATTGAAAAAAAAAAAAAAAAAAAAAAAAAAGTAAAAAAAAAAAAAAAAAAAAAAAAAAAAAGTAAAAGTACACTCTGTGCCTTACAGTAATTGCATCTTATTTTTAACTTTTTGACAGATCATATCTTTAAATAAAACTTGAAAATTAAATTGCATTTATGGTTGAAATATAGTTCAATTGCAAAAATATGCAAAATTTAGAATATTTTTTACACCTCAAATGATTAATGCATTTATAATTTTTTAAATATTATTTTCTTTGAATTGAATGAAAATTAGTAAAGAAAGAAGTTTATAATTTTTTTTTTAAAAAAAAATATCATTTATTAACTTGTTCCAAACAAACACAGATTTGAAAATTATTAAAAAGACAATTAAATAAAATAAAGGAAAAAACAAAAAGAATTGCCACCTAAAAAGGTGTCTTATTACTGTCTCATGTGTGTTTTCGTTTATTGAAAAAATTCAATGTGTGGTCTGATTGGTCTTCTGAATTACATGAAGAGTGAGATATCTCAAATTCAAGTTCCCTCAACTATAATTGTTTTCACCAAAGAAAAAGAAAGTACTACCCACTATTATATAATCTGCAGTGTCATTCGGCCATCGAACCTTCTTGTAAATTAAAAAAAAAAAAAGTCGATATATTTTTTCTTCTCCAATTAACTTAATCTGTCGTCGGGCTGCTACCAGCTAGCAAGTCGGTGAGCAACTCATCCCTCTAGCTTTTTTTTTTTTTTTTTTTTTTTTTTTTTTTTTTTTTTTTTTTTTACTTGTATTTTTCCTAGTTTCTTGAGTGATCCGAATCTGTATCCTTTTGATACAGATTTTGAATTAAGGTTCTCAGATATTTATTTTCATAGAAGTTGAATTTGATCCTCATTTATCTGTTTTTTAAGTTTTTGAGTTTCGTTATTCATCTTTCGAAGTTTTATTGTCCTTTTATATTGATAGTTTTATTTTTTTTTTTTTTTTTTTTTTTTTTTTTTTTTTTTTTTTTTAATTACCTTGTATTTTTCCTAGTTTTCTTGAGTGATCCTCGAATCTGTATCCTTTTGATACAGATTTTGAATTAGGTTCTCAGATTTATTTATTTTCATAGAAGTTGAAATTTGATCCTCATTTATCTGTTTTAAGTTTTTGAGTTTCGATTAATCTCTTTCGAAGTTTTATTGTCCTTTTTATGATAGTTTTACTTGTGTTATTTTGTCGAAACGACGTACACATCTCTTTTCGTGAAGAAGTTTAAACATTATTAGATGAATTTGTTGAAAAAATATGGAAATTGCATATAATACAAATTTAATGCAATGTCAACTCAATTGAATACTTCGAAACAAGTTTATATTTTTTTATTTTTTATATTAGTAATTTATAATTAGCATTTTTATGCAAAATATAAAAATCTATAAATCTATATTTCATATTTATATTATGTCTCATTTTAATAAAATTTTCATTTTCCTTTTAAAAAAAATCCAACTGAATGAGATATAAAGCTTGAAATTGTAAAAATAGATTTTCCCCATCTAAATAAATGAAATTTCTGATATATTTAATTACTGATTTTCGCACATTTTATTTTAACCAATAGTGCTATATATCTGGCCCGGACCGGATGGCAAACCAAATCATCAAAATTAAACCGATAATTCAGAAAGGGTCTCGAAGATTTGACCAATCTACTGTTCTCCGTTCTAACACTTTCCCTCTCTCCCTTGACCAAGGCCACAGAGTCAAGAAAGATCAGCCAGCCAGCCACCATTATTGGCTCGATTAGGATTATTGTGTGCGTAAGTATGCATAGCCTTCAACTAGCAAAAAGTTTATTTTAATTATATTTTCAGTGTATAATATATGAAAAATAATACATACATTGGAATTGAAACTTGACCTTGGAGTATAAATTTTAAGGTTGATAAATATATTTTTTTTTTACATTATTACTACTGATTAAATCTTATTGACTCAAACTTAAACCTTCTAAATATTTTTTTGAATTAAATTATTAGAGAAAATGGATAAAATGTTCAGATTATTAACTTTAGGTGGAATGGAGGTTTGACCATTTTTTCTGCATAGATAATATTATGGCTCTGTTCCACAAGAGCTTTGGAGTAGAATTCAGTGTTTTGATTAAATTAAAACACTGTTTTAATTAATTATTGTGTTCCGTAATGTAACATCTATCATGACGTCTAGAGTTTGAAGTCATATTTTATGAAACGTTATCCTCGTTAACGTTTAGTATTTTATAAATTTTTTATTAAATTGATGCTCATCATTTGTCTTTATCTTGTTCTCCATAACCTTATTCTTTTTTGTCTTTTTCATATTAAAGAGTTAATCAAACATTTATTCTTACCGAACACTTTGTATTTTAAACAACTAACTATTAACGGCTAATATGCTACAGCTAAAATGTACTACAACAACTAAAATGTACTGCAGCAGTTAAAATTGCCAAACAGGGCCCACGTGGATGTCAACCTAAATGAGCAAAGCTCTCTCCTTTTCTTTGAAAGACCCATTGGTATGTGAAATTAAGAGAATAATCAAGAACTCTGACTGAAGAAGCAAAACATCAATAAAAAAAATTATTGGTTCTTGGAACCATTAACTAAAAAGAACTTGTGTGCAATTTGCTAGAAAAGAAAAAAGAAAAAAAAATATTGAATTTGAACCTCTTTCCTTTTCCATTAGTGCTTTTTTTGTATGCACAAACATTAGCCAAGATGTAAAATTAGAAATGAAGATACCTTAACTAAAGCTAGAAGAAGCTACCTTGGAGAGATAATGGACATGGTATATGAATAAGATGTGGTAGGAGCAGGATTGGCACTATCTACTGGTTCTGCAGCAAATGCAGCAATGGCTGCTCTTTTATGACCATCTACTGTATCCCCATCAATTGACAATAAATCAACAACAACCATTTGAGTATCAGGTGGTTCCTCTATAGCAACTCTGCCCTCAAGCATTTCCACAACATGAGCCATTGTAGGCCTACGCCTAGCCTTCTCTTGTATACACCAGAAAGCTAAATTAACCAGTCTCTTAATCTCTCTTTCATCAAAATCTCCATTTTCTACTATTCTTTGATCAACAACTTCCATTAACTTCCCTTCTTTCATTTTCTGATTTACAATTTTAGGGAAGTATTGCCATGACCTTTGAGACCTGTCATTCCCTTTTTGTATAAAGGAAACACTTCTTTGCCCTCCAACCAGTTCTAAAAGAACCATTCCATAACTATAAACATCAGATTTCTCTGAAACACCGTTTTCTAACAACCATTCAGGAGCTAAATAACCTCTAGTACCGCGAATGTTAGTAATTACTCTACTCTCATCTTTTCCCATTAATTTTGAAAGACCAAAATCTGCAACAATTGCCCTATAATTCTCATCAAGAAGAATATTCTCTGGTTTTACATCAAGATGCAATACTCTTGATCTACAATCATGATGTAGATAAGAAAGTGCTTTAGCCACATCAATGGCGACTCTATACCTTAATTCCCAAGACAGACAACCTCCAGGAAGATTTCGATTTCCTTTTTTGGGGAAAATCCAATAATCTAAAGATCCATTTGGGATAAAATCATAAACGAGAAATCTAGGTCCTCCTTGTACAATACAATATCCAATTAAACGTACCAGATTCACATGTTGGACACTAGCAATTGCTGCAACTTCAGATCGAAATTCCTTATCTCCACGCTCTTCTTTCTCGAGTCGCTTAACAGCAACTGCAGTTCCGTCGCTTAAAATTCCTTTGAAAACCGAAGCAGAAGCTCCTTGCCCTAACAATGAACGGAAATTGTCGGTGGCTTCTTCTAGCTCTTTGATTCGAAACCTAATAGGAAGTCCTGCAACTTTTCGAAGAAAACTGTACTCAATGCGAAGCTCTCTTCCTTCTGAAACTAATTGCGTCACCAACAGTTTGCTTCTCCGATTATAACGACGCCGTATTATCAAGCAAGCGAAGATGGCAAGAATCACTGCAACATCGGCACCTGTAATTAAGTAGAAAGCATTGGAAAGCTTAAGGGAGACGCGAGAAATGACAATGACGATGATGAGGATGATAATTATTGAAGCAGCAATGATATGAGCTCTTTTGTCCTCCATTAGAGCACTGTTTTTTCTTTTGCAAGTGGAAGGAGGCAGAATTGAATAATCTGAGAATCTGTGTTTTGGTTTACATGTTCTTCTTTTTGCTTTTACGCTTCAGTTTCCCATAAAGAGGGAGTATTGGATTGACTGATCATACAGAAGAAAGATTGAAAACTACAGGGATGAAAGCCATTTCCATCTTTGGATTAGCCAAACGTTGAATTAAGACTGTGATTTGTTTATATTTATGCATTTTTTCTTTTTTTTTGTTTTTTTTTTTTAAGAAAATAGAAAGAAAAACGATGATTCCTTTGGCTTTTCAAAGCTTTCACGTGTTGTACTGGTAACCATTCGTCAATGAATATTTTAATATTTTTCTTTTTTGGTGGAGATTAAATAATTAAGACTGCACATTATAAATACTTTTTTTTTTTAGAAATAAGAAAAGAACAAAATTTAAGAAGATTTAATTTTTGAACATATATTCCAATCTCTGATTACCTACTTTACCATTTAATGGGTAAGAAAATTAAATTTGCATAAAAAATAAAATAAAATATTTAATAAAAAAGACTTATAATTAAATTCGAATTCTAAAACTCTCACTTATCATAATAACAAAAAAATTAACAAGATCAGACCTGATTATTAATTTTTATAATACTCTTGTCTATCTTACTTTTCTCAAAACAATCCCAATCTTGAAAGCTGCTACAAAAACAGCCCCTAATTATATGTCAATTGATGATGACGTCTTGTTTAATGGGTTTTGGGTAATCTCAATTACATGAATCTGATTAGGCCTTCAAACAAGATAAGAGTCATTGCAAGGCAGGCTTTGAAGATTCTCCCAAGAAGAGTAGTTGGCGTAAGAGACCGCCGTTTGAGTCTTGCTTAAATTAATGGAGTAATAAATAGTCTTTTCGTTTTCACAATTGCTTAAATTAAAGTCTTGGTGAAATTTAGAGCCCGGAAGCTCATCTTCATTTATGCATTGTACTATATATTAAAAACCACGAGCATTATGATCAGTGATTCAACACTTTTGATAAGTAAGATTAAGAATTCAATTTTTCATAAATGAAAATATAAATATGCATCGTAACTAATCTTAAAAAATCCACTAATGAACAACTAACTAATGTAGACTTGTTTGTATTCTTAAATGTGAATTCATTAATTGTCAAACCAACTAAAAAAAACTATAAATTATAATTCATTATATATTGTTTGTATTATAATTCATTGATACAAATTTATACAATAAAATAATGATTTGACATTACTCTATTGTAATCCACCACTACCTACTACCATGGGCCACCAGCCACCGGCCAAAATATAACTTGTTTTAAGTATTTTAATGAGTAATAAATGATATTTTTTCAATATTATCCTTGTTTAGATTAGCTATAATAAATACTTTCACGAGCAACTATTGATTTTGAGATAATGGATAATTTGGTCAAAATTACCCTTCATTTTATTATAATTTAGAAGAATTAATTGTTTTGAGATAAATAATAATTTGGTCAAATTACCCTTCAGTTTGTTATAATCTAGAATAATTAATTGTTTCGTTAATACTTGTGCAATAACCTTAAATGACTTGTATTTTGAAAAGAGAGAGTAATACTTTGGTACTGACAGCTAACGCTATAATATGATGAGATGTCTTAAATAAGGGTCGAAGCATTATTAATTTAATTTATTATACAATAAATTAACAAAAAGTCATATTTGGATATTTATGACCAGGTCCTTAATTACAACTTAATCAATATTCAAATGGGGATAAAATAAGTTAATCCTCAAAATGGTGGATCTCACGGATGGAATAGTAATGACTATTGGCTAATGAGAGGCTACAGGCTACGTAAGTTGGAGCAAGCATGATTTCAACCTAAATATTATTTACCATTAAAGTATAATGGATGTAGAAGCATGATTTTAGTGAAGCCAATTGAATTAAAAATCTAAAATTTTTCACATAATATATACTTTTTTTTAATTCTTTTCTTTAATTTAATTGTATTTTATAAATATGTTTTTTCAGTGTTCCATAAAACCCATGAGGATAATTAGTGGGCAAATAATAATTGTAATTTATATTATTTTGCAAAAATAAACAATTAACAGAGTTTGACATTCAAAGCGGAGCTTAGGAGATAGCAGTGAGCATTTTGGTTTTAATTAAAGAAAATTTTAGTCAAATTTGGAGGGAGGAATTCTCAATTTCACGGGTTCCACGTGTAAGCCAATTTAGGACGGCCCACAATATTATTTGGGGATTAAACATGCGGGTTAATGAAAGGTTAAAAACGTCAAAAAAATTATTACTTATATAATGAGAGTGACTTTTTTTTTCCTTCCAGTTTAGTTTTGATTGAAGTTTGGATTTTATAAATAAATTATATAAGTGAATCTTTCATGCTTGATGTACTTAATTTAAAAAATTTAATTAACTGAATTTTATATAATTATATTTGAAATTAATTTATATTAAAAATCATTTTCTAAAAGTACATGATAATAATTTTAATAAAAGGTTAAAAGGATGAATATGTTTACCACAAAATTTTGTATTATTTAATTTTATGAAATTTATTTAGATTTTTATTTATTTTGGTAGAATCTGATTTTTTTTTTTTTAGCATTGGGGAAGGGAATTCGAACCTGGAACTATTGTCAGATTATATATGCACTTACCATTAGGTTGTGTTATGCGGTAGAATCTGATTTGTTATATTCGATTCCATCAATTCAAATTCATAAAATTAAAATCTCCAATTTTTTTATTCCAAATACAAAAACTCAGATTTATAAATGAATTTAAATAAGATATTAGTTATGCAACTGATTATAATATAATTGAACAAAAATTTCTTGGTATGAAAAATTAAAGTGTTATTCACGCCTCAATGAGCCATAAACAATAATTATCATGAAAAGGAAGTGCATTATGATATGCCAAAGAAAAAAGGGGAAAGAAGAATGATCAAGCAATATTTAAGGGTTAAATTACACAATAATGATTTGTCAATTCAAAGCGGTGGAAAATTGGATATGGACATTAAAATTAAAAATTATAATTTTGTTAACCACTCTCCTCCAATACAGGCCTTTTTTAAATGTTAATTGATTGAAAAAAAAGATGAAATTAACTTTGTATAAAAAAAATTTTTGAAATTAAAAAATAAATTCATTCATTTATTATAATTAAACTAATTACGATGTTCATAACTTATAATTTTATTAAGCTTTGATCTATGTGTTTTGAAGGAAAAGACAAATATGTTAATATGAGTCCTAATTAGGATCTTATAATTAGTTTTACAAAATAAAGGTTGTCATAGGTTAATTTAGTTATAATGTAAGGAGCAATTTATTTTTTTTCATTTTTTTTTTAATTTTATGTTCGGTTGCTTCAACGGCGTCGTTCTACGTGGTCCCGCTAAAAGTATAGCAAATTAGGGGCAAAATCTCATGCTCCGCAACTATCAAAAGCATTTTGCAACTTATGAATGAATACTCAAATCGAACCACCAGGACTAGGAGGCTGGACTATGGAGCTGACGTGGCACTCTTTGCCAAACTGGACGTTGAAAGCAAACCCCAAAGAACGACATAACTGTATAATACAGCCGCATTGCCCTAAACCCCTTCGCTCTCTGTCACGGTACGCAGGGAACTCCCGACCCAAGGAGAAGGAGAAAATAAGTATGGGGAGCCATCACAACCGCGACCTTGCTGCCAGTAGCAATGGCGGAGCTGCGGCGGTGGACAAAGGCGTCGATTTTGCTAACTATTTCTGCACCTACGCCTTTCTATATCATCAGAAAGACATGCTTTCCGATCGAGTTCGCATGGACGCTTATTATAACGCCATTTTTGAAAACAAACACCACTTCAATGGAAAGGTACCTGTTTCTTGTTTATATCTTTGCACACACTTATATTTCTTTGCATGTAGCTGGTTCAACTTTAGCTCTGTTACGAATAGATAGAAATGGAAATTGGTGGCTTCGAGCTTTTAATTTTGTTTATTAAGAGTTTGCTTCTTGAAAAGAGCGTGTTGCTTTTCTGGAAACAGATATAAATGAGCAAGAACCGAAATCTTATAAATACTATATAACATTTAGAGAGAGAGAAGTGGAAGGGCGTTTTGTTTTGCTACCTTCGATTGTGCAAGGAAGGATTAATTTATTCATTCACTTAAGTATGCCAAGGCTTTAATAGGAGTAATAATTTCTCTTGTTAGCAATTTTACATATTGATTTTGGGATGTGGACTATTAATTGTTGGGGAGCATAATTAAGTGCAGAATGTGGATGTTAACTTGCCAAGTCACATGATGTTTTAAATTGATTATCACTCAACCTTTTTTCCTACTCTATTTTGATCTTCAGTAGTGTATAAGAGCTAATTTTGGTGAATCTGTGGTGTAGACGGTGTTGGATGTGGGGACGGGGAGTGGCATTCTTGCAATATGGTCAGCACAAGCTGGTGCACGAAAGGTCTATGCAGTGGAAGCGACTAAGATGGCAGAGCATGCTCGTGCACTAGTTAAAGCAAATAATCTTCAAAATGTAATTGAAGTGATTGAGGGTTCCGTGGAAGATATCACTTTGCCAGAGAAAGGTTTGATTGTTTGACGTGTGATTGCCTATTTCATGCAAATTGTTCTCAGTTAATTTATTCATGGTTTCAAATTATGTGTTGCATCTCCTTTTGATCCATGCAGTTGATGTAATCATCTCAGAGTGGATGGGTTACTTCCTTCTCCGTGAATCTATGTTTGATTCAGTGATATGTGCTCGTGACCGCTGGCTCAAGCCAAGTGGAATCATGTAAGCAATTCAATGTGTGCATTTCATAGTATTTAGTTCCTTAAGCTAATGTGGTGTTTGTGTTTCAAATTTCTATTTGATGTTTTATGCCTCCTATGCTGCTAATATTTTGCTACCACTGTCATGCTGTTGCAAATATTAATTGGGTAAATAACTATTTATTTAGTTCCTTAGGTTTGGTCGTAATCCAACTTCGTCCCTCTTATTTGGTAAATACACTAATTGGTTCATGAAGTTTAGCTCTGTTAAATTATTTAGCCATTCAGTATAAAAATACCACTTTGTGGGTTAAATACCTTGCAATTTGACTATTTGGTCATGAATAATTAATATCGTTACTATTTAAGCCCTCATATTTACTATTGAATTACTATTTAGTCCCTCACTTAACAGATGATACTTTTTGGCAGAGAACTAAATATAACGGAGCTAAACCTTAAAGACTAATCAATGTATTTACTAGGCAAGAGGGACAAAGTTGTAATTATGACCAAACCTGAGGACTAAATAATTCTTTATCCTTATTTATATCATAACCGGCTTTCTTCTAGCTATTTTCTTATAGGAATACCTATGCATGCCACTTTAACTATCCTATTGCTATAATATTGCAGGTATCCAAGTCATGCCCGCATGTGGATGGCACCTATTAGGTCTGGTTTGGGAGATCAGAAAAGGAATGATTATGACGGAGCAATGGATGATTGGTATGATTTTGTGGAGGACACCAAAATTCACTATGGTGTTGATATGGATGTTTTAACTAAGCCTTTCAGTGAAGAGCAAAGAAAATACTATCTACAGGTTAGTTCTGGATTATAGTCACGCCTAGAAAGTGCTTCCTTTTTTCTTTCTTTCAAATGGTAAGGCTCACAACAAGAGATCTACCAATGTCACCAATCCTAAAACCCCCACAATACCACTCCCTTGTTTTGAACTTGATACCCTGAAGTTGGAATCCCAAGTTTGAATATTGACATCTGGCCCCTTATACATCCATATCTGAAATCTGAATGTCAATGCTGTTCAAAATTTTAATTATGAACAAACTCATGTAGTTTGTTATCCTAGATAAACTTAACTGTACTGTACAAATTCCTGTTGCTGGAGCCTGAGTCAACATAGCATATTCCCAAATTTGTCAAAGCCATGACTTTGGGGTGGCGTGCTGGCTAGTGGGCTAATTGCAAACTGTCCAGCTTCTCATACTGATATACTCGTGCATCCCAAAGAAAGAAGAATAAAAGGGAAACCCCCTAGTAATTTAGTTTTAAACGGCTACTTTGATAAGTTTTTACAATGATGGTTTGGCTGAATGACCTATCATTAATTTTACTTCTGGGTCCCAGAGCATTGGCTAGTCATAGGTAATGTTTTGATTAAATTTAGATCTAAAAAATAATTTCGTGTGTAGTTTCTCATCCCGTTGGGGGAGCTTAGGTGAACCATATATGCCATTTTGAATCATCAATGAAATCTTTTTATGCTTCCTTGAATCTTATTTTATTTTACTTCTTGGATCTATATACTTTTATCAACTGTATCGTGCTACTTTATATATCTAAGTGTAATATTATTCATTCTTCTTATTGGCGTATTGAAGGAATCTATAATAAAATAATACGTCTTTCACTTTAATATATGTTTTAAGACGACTTTTTATGAATCTTCTGCAGACATCAATGTGGCAAAACCTTCAGCCAAATCAAGTTATAGGTACGGCTGCCATTATAATGGAGATGGATTGTTTAACAGCCACTGTTGATGACATCCTTAAGGTCAGATCAAACTTTCTATCTTCAATCACTATGGAAAACACAAGCCTCTGTGGATTTGGTGGATGGTTTGATGTTCATTTTCGAGTAAGTTGAGCATCACTATTGCTTGTCATTCTGGCATTTTAAGTTCTCAATCACCTGTATGATATATCATTCCTTTTACATTCTTGGACCTTCAGGGAAGAAGGGATGATCCGGCTCAGAAAGAGATTGAGTTGACAACTGCTCCAAACATAAATAGTGGTACACATTGGGGCCAGCAGGTAAGACAAAGAAAAACGTCATGACGATATTCACCTATCAAGTAGGAAAATGTAAATGCCTAATTATTAAGAAAGATTGTGAAATAAGCAATTGCACAAAATTATTGCAACAATTGGTGTGGTGAGCTTTCTCTCTCTTTCTTAGTGGCTAATGTTGCATCTGAATAATGGTTGTTGGGGGGGGGGGGGGGGGGATTGTGAAATAAGGCAATTTGCACAAAAATATATTGCAACAATTGGTGTGGTAGAGCTTTCTTCTCTTTTCTTAGTGGTAATGTTGCATCTGAATAATGGTTGTTGGGGGGGGGGGGGGGGGGGAATACTGCAACGATGGCGGGGGGGGGGGGAATACTGCAACGATGGGTTAACTCCATTATGCTATAATTGCATTCGTGTATTTGATCATGATGTTTCTGTGGCATTAACATTTTGTCTGTGGATGGTCAGTTGCTGCTTCAGCTGCATTAGCTTTCAAATTTAATATTTGTGTTTATTTGACAGGTTTTCCTCCTGCATCCTCCAGTGCGCATCAATGAAGGGGATAGTTTGAGTATATCTTTCACGATGGACCGTTCAAAAGAAAATCATAGATTGATGGTCGTTGAGATTGGCTGTGAGATTAGACAGTCTTCTAGTCAACAAGTTGCATCATTGAGAAATAAGTTCTACATTGAGTGAGAAGGAAATAGCTGACCTTTTGGAAATCCTATCATGAACTGAGGTATATCTTGTAGCTTATTTTTCTTCTAACAATCAGCAAAAAGATATGCTTGCTATGCTGGGCTATGGGATTTTATTATTTTCTTAGATTCAGTTTTGTGAGCTTTGTTGTTGCTCCTCAAGCTTGATTTTGTTCCTACATTTGATGTTAGTACAGCACACACATGCACTGGGAGATGGCATGGGATTGGTGCATTTCAGAACCAGAATGTCAAAATGCCAAAACTATGTGTGAAAATGTTGCAAAAAATGAATTTGTGAAGAGTTTCAGGAGGCTTGGAAAATTTTAGTCATTCAAAGTTAGAAGTTTAATTTGATTGGTAGAGAAGGTACCAAAAACTGATGTCATTGATCATCCCCATTTAGTTATTGAGCAAAATCTGTAGTCAAATTTGTGATTAACTTGGATCAACACAAATCAAAGAGATGAAATGGGGAAATTGAGTTGAATTGGTTAGATGCTTGTTGATGCATAGTGTGGGTGCATGCTTTTCACGTGTATAATTTTGTTTCTTTTCTTCCAATGCTGGTCATATTTGGTTCATTCTAGAATTGATAATGAACGCAATATGATTGTGTATTTTGCTTTGGTTCACAAGGAATCCAAAATTTTTTAAGAATGTTATCTACATTTTAAATATTCTTTACGTAACCAATAATTTTCTTTTTAATTTTTTAGAGATAAAACTCTTGGAATGGGATTTTGAATGTACACAGCCATTCTAATTGCATTTTCAAGATACTTTAAACTGGCTGTGGGTTCCCAATTGCTTTTCAGTATTGGTTTTGAAGGAGGGAGAAAAGGAGGAAGGGTTAAGTTGGGTGAGTGGCAACTCGAGCCTGAGCCTCTCAATTATGCTAAAAGCATGAGCACCTTCCGGGTGAGTTATGCCCATTCCTATAAATATAGAAGCCAAGAAATTACCCGGAACTTCAAGTTACAACTTCAAAATTGACATTGACTGTCAATTACGGAAAATGATTTCAATAATAATTATAGCAAGCCAAACAAGTTGTACATAGCTGGATTTACACAAGAATGCAATCTTAAATTATATATGAAGTATCATATATTTAGCTGGTAGTATCCATATTTTGGTTAATTGGTGTAGGAACAGAAAAAGGATGGCAAAAAAAAAAAAAATATTTAGGAAACTTTATGCAGCTAGCTAATTTGTCTCCAATGCTCTAGGCTAAATATGTAATGGGGGTTTTTTCCTGTCAGGAGTTAACTATTTATATTATATTTGAATTATGTTAACCTTATGAAAATAATTAGTAATAAAAAATCGTTTTTTCTCAAGTTATGTTAACTCAAAAAATAATTATCATATGCATTAGTTGACTATAAAGATTTCCTTGTGTATAAGAAAAATAATATAATAATAATACTAATAAAAGGTTCCTTATATTTAAAACTGAAAACACATGCTTATGCATACTTGCATACCTTTAATTATGTTGAAAGCAGCCTTTAAGTTAAGCTGATGTAGTTTGACATTCAAAACCGTTGAAACTTCTACTCTCAAAATCATTAGTTCACGTCTTCTATATAAACTCTCTGAGTTGAGCTGCTTCTTCCTGTCTCGAGTTTACTGTCTGAAAACTCGTTCCTTTCTTCTTCTAAAGAATGCATAGGTCATCAAGCACTTCCCGCGCGGCGGATGAGCTTTCGGTCAATTTTTCTTCAGATGATAACATTGTTTCTCCTGTGAAAACATTATCTTCAACTGACCTTCCAATTTATAAGTCTAGCTCTGATGCTAGTAAAAAGGAAATAGGTCTTCATCAGAAGTCAGTTGGAGAAAATGCAGTTCATCTTATTCCTCTAATTCTACTTCTCTGTGCTTTAATTCTTTGGCTTTTCTCTTATCCTATTAAAGCCTAATGCAATTTGATATTTTCCTTTTTAGCAATTGTGCTGCTTAAATTTTTTCTCATGTACCATCATTGAGATTTGTTTTTGTTATCCTAATTTCACTAGGCATGAACTAATCCTACTCTTGTCGGATGGGTTCAGTGCTCTTAACGAGTATTTGTTCCATATATGAAGATTCTCTCTCGACTTTGTTTAAAAGAAAAGAGTTGTCAACCACTCAAATATAGAATCTCATTTGAGATGATGTTATTTATGATGGGAAAATAATTACTTAGGTTGATTGTCAATAATTTAAATATAATTATATATGAATCAAACAAATCTAAAATAAAAATAATTTAAAGATGATTTTATCCTAATTTCTTGTTAATATCTTTACTATCATTATTATTATTAATTAAGATGCTGTCGTTGTTATTATCCTCATTATATATAATGGGATCTGATGCTTGAAAGGACCACCTAATTTACATGCACTCTCTTCAATCTTTAGTAACATTAGTGCGCCACCAAACACCACATTAGACAATAGGGAAGCATGAACTGACCCTTGGTGTCTCTCCCCAAAAGGTTCAATAATGCTAAAACGAAAACTAGTAATATTACTTTATTATAATAATATATAATTTTTTTTAAAAAAAGAGCTTTTTTTCCTCACTCTAATAAAATAATTTTACTTCCAATTTCTCCCTATATTTTAGAGTGACATCAAATATATGTCAAGCCTTGAACGCATATATATTAGCTCGTGTACTAGAAAAAAATTATATTTTCAGCAATGAATTACCGTTTCTAAAGTCTAAAAATCGGTTGCTAATTCAGTTTAGAAACAGAAATTATCCCTGCATACTTGGCGCGTTTCTAATTTATTTTAGCAACAGATTTTGGTCGCCGTTTCTTATTAAAATTCACCTCTAATTTTCAACGTCAATGGGAATGAATTTCGTTGCCATCCCGTTTATGTTCTGTCTCTTAATCCATTTCTATACTGTTGCTGAATCCGTTTCTATTTTCATATCTAGACATGATTGTCTGTTCTAATTGTAGTTTCTAATTCCCTTGAATATCAGTTTTTCCATTGCCAAATCTGTTTCTAAAAAAGATCGTTGCTAAATCTGTTTCTAATATCAAATTGTGTCAAAATCTCTTTTTAATTCATTTCTAAATCCGGTTTTAATTCTTTTGATTTATAAATAATCTGCTTATAATTTTATCTTTTTATTTCTTTTGTCATATTTATTTTAAAATTAAATAAACATAATGAATATAAATTATTTTAAAATTAAATAAACATAATGAATATAAAATCGCATAATTCTAATCTTAAATCTATTTAAAGTATTATAATAAAAATTGTTCTTACGAATAAAAACAATTTAATGTCTCAAATAAAATCTATATGTTTCATAAGTACCACATTGCTATCACAAATAAAAATAATCATATGTATCATCATGGCCAACCACAAAGCTCTCGGCAAAGGTTGCTCAGTGTTCTCTTGCATTGACAATCCACATAATTTACATGACATCAATTAAAATAGTTTAGCTATTATAGAAATACAATTAAAACATCATTGTAACTGTTTTTTATTGTTTAAAAAAAATCAAAATTCATCGCCTCAAAATTCCAAATCACCATAGAAAAATAAGTAGATAGCCCTTTCAGAATGTTGGTAATTTATTTTGACATTTAGAAACGGATCACTGATCTGATTCAAATACGTTAATAACCGTTTCTATATGACGCACCCGGATTTCCCGCAAAACATAGCTACAAAAAATTCCATTTCTAGCCATTCCGTTTCTAGTTTGTTTCTAACTTATTTCTAATTTCATGAAAAACTTTTGAGTTTAAGTCCGTTTCTAATCTGTTGCTAATTAACAATGAATCAATCAAAATGAAGAAAGATTTTATTTCAAAAATCAAGAATGCTAACTTTTTGGTACTACCAAGAATATTTTCATCTCTAGTTTTTTAACTCTAATGTTTGGGATTGCTGCAAATTTAATTAACCAGTTCACATTCTACTCTTTTTTTTCCGTTTTTAATCTTTTCTTCACTTTAATAAACTCAAATCTATTTTTCCTATAACATATATCTTTTTATTATTATGATCATGTGGGATGAATTACGCCTAACCACTACACTAAGCTGTGTTGAGTAACATGAAGAATAACTTTAAAGCAAGTTGGTTAGTTAATCCTGCCACTGGATTTTTGTATGGATTGCATGTTTTGGATTCTCCTCCCCTAGGGTTTAGCTATTGGTTGGTTCACGATACATGCAGTGTCCCTTTACGCCTGTGATTTTCTTGTTTATTCTTTTTTCCCCCCCGATTTCTGCTCTCCATTATAGAAGCAAGAGGGCTTAAAAAAAAAAAAAAAGGTTGTTGGGTTCACGATACATGCAGGTCCCTTACGCCTTGATTCTTGTTTATTCTTTTTTCCCCCGATTTCTGCCTCTCCGATTATAGAAAGCAAGTAGGCTTATAAAAAAAAAAAATAAAGGTGATGGATGGACGAAGGCACGATAGTTAGAGATAAATCTTGAAAACGTGGAGTTCTTTGGCCGAATTTTGCTGAAAGCGCAGTTCTTGCTTCCAAGCAAAAACCATAACCCAACAAAGCCCATTCTTAACTTTACATTCCACTTTCTTCTTCTCTAACACATGGTAATTCAGAACTAAGTTTTACTGTCTTTACTAATTAAGAAACTGTGAAAATAACTATTTTAAAAGATTTTATAATTTAAAAAAAAAAAATGCAGAATTCATAATTGATGAGAAGATTAATAGATACAGTTATGTTATGTGTGACAAATGATAAGCCAAAATCTTTAGAGCTTTTATTTATGCGATGATAAACGAAGAAACAAGAATACGCAATGGAAGAAGTTACTTGATCTTCTTAAACTGGCAATTGTAAGAAATTGGGAAAAGTTTCGTACGTTAATAACTATAGATAAATAAATACATTAATTAAAATACATAAATAAGGAAAAATAATCACTCTAGAGATTCCTAAATATCATTCTTAATTAGATAATTTCGTATCTCTATTTTTAAAAATTACCTATAAAGTAATTACAAAAAATTTTTGGATAATATATCTTAATTTTCAATAAGAGGTAAACAAATGTTAGGGATTATGATTAAGTTTTGAATTATCCATATGTAATCAGAAACAAGACCGCAAATTATGGACCAGGCAGCTAACTAGATGTCAAAGAACATAATAACGGTCCTTAATTTTAAAATATCATACAACAAGCCAGCAAAGAGAAGTGTTTAAAGGGAAATATTATAATAAAGAAACTAATACATTTTGTATGAAGTCAAAAATAAATAATAATAAAAAAAAGAAAACGATAGAACTTTGACATCCTTTGTTTCAATTAGGCCAATATTTTATATGTTATTATATATACAATCAGATTTTTACTTTTTCTTGATCAATATAGTTTTCATTCATAAATCTGGTTAGTTTCGTTCAGTTGGCCTTATGAACAAGCTAGCTCACATTGGTGACCATTCTTTGACAATTATTCTTGTTTTTTAAAATTTCTTTAGAATTGGAAGCTTGCATTTGTTTGTGAGACAGAGTTTTGGTTTTCTATTTTTCACGCCTATAAAAAATTATAAACAATAATGGATATTAATAAATCTCTATTTTTGTATATTCTTCTTATACTAACGGACTCTTATGGATCTTCTCATTGAGCAACTTGCCCATGTCAACCAATTTTAAGATCCCGTCAAATTTTTGTTCTTTTCACACTCTCAAAAGCTGACGTCACTCGACTGCCACCCTAAGTCGGATTTGAATGGAATCCATTAATTACAAGTAAAAGAATTCAACAGCAGACTATTGTTATTATAAAAAGTAAAGTATAAATTAACAGTTACGCCTGTCTTTAGTACTTTAAGCCAAATTTAAAGTTAGTTTATAAAATTGAATTAACTAATCTAAAGCAAAAATTAATGCTTGTCCATTTAATATTAAAAGAAGAACTATAGGAATCGGAGTTTGAAACCTGTAAACCCTGTCTTTAGAACAAATCGAATCCATAAAATTTTGCGAATGTAATGGTATTTGTAGAAATAATTTTTCTTGTTGGAACTAAAATCCAAAAATTGTCTAGATTTCTTAATTAAGGAAATTCGATTCTAGGATTTTCAATTATAAAATTTATCACTATATAATATATGGAATTTAAGTAATATTACATATTTATTTAATTCAATAACTAAATACGAAAACTCCATTTAGCAAATGATTTTTAATTAGAATTTATTTATTACCAAACAGAGTATAAAATAATATCTCAAATTTTCACTTTAATCAGTAATAAATTTTTTTCACGGAACACTCTTTTTTATAGAAAATGAAACACATTGATGAATTTAAGTCAATTGAAAATATAAATAACACTTACCACTTTTCAAAAAAAAAAAAAGAAAAACGATTTACCGATCACTCTATAATTAGAAAATATGTAAGAAAACTCTATAGGAACAAAAACATTAAAGATAAAAGAGTTATATGTATAAATTAAATTACAACATTCGTAATAACACTAATAAATTAAGAATAACTGGATAATAACTCAAAATTCTTCGATTTTAATTAGACAAATAACTTACACTGATAAGCTAATGGTGAAATTTTTAATAAAAATTTAAATAATAATGAGTACTTAAACATTAAAAATGATTAATTACAAATACAATTAATTTCATAAATCTATCGTGTAATATAAGTAATTCTTTATTTAAAGTGAATATTTATTTTTTATTTTAGTATGTATATATTAAATTTAAAATGACTACACATAGTAAAAAATATAAAATTTCAAAAACAAATAATTTCTATATAATAGTAATATATATTGTAAGCCTATAGTTTGTCTAAGACGAAAAAAAATCCTCCACTTCTAGTTAGTGCAGGGCTTAACTATTATGATTACATTCGGACAACAGC